TGCATGCTACCGAGTTTTTCCTTACTTGGGTTGAAAAGTCGCAGGTTTCTTCCACTTGAAAGTGTGCAGACTGTTTGTAAACTCAAATTAAGACTCTGTTTGGCATTCCTGTAATGTTTAACTGGTTCATTAGAAAAAGTGCTCTGCATCGTTCCCTCTCTACAGTAGCTCAATTGTTCAAGCTAGTCATTAAAACGAGATGTTGTCACAACTTGGCTTACCATGAATAAACTCAACCTCAACACCTTATGAAACAGTTAAGCGCTTTGAAATGCCTCAAGCACCTGGTCTTGCCAATATTATATGTAGAGTTTGGGATTTACATAAGCGTATTCATGGTTTTGCTATTTATTCTAGATGATGCCGAGGACAGCTTCTCAATGGATCCAGTGCTACTTCATGACCGAATCAAGTACAACATGCGAAAGTCTTTGGATCTTGATGACGACGGCTGTTACCTCCAACCTGGGAAAAAGGAAAGCATTGAGGAGTGTGGCTTCAATACCACAGTCAAGACCATTCTGATCATCCACGGCTGGACGGTGAGATATTCCAGATGATCATGTGGCTAGTTTTAATATTTGGTTCGACTTTTAAAGATTTCAACACCCATAGCCTTTGAATCTTCAGAAGTTTCCTCACATTTTATCTTTGATGCAATGCTGGAAGTTATCCAGAAATAGTGTAACACAACTGAAATGTTCTTTCTTCAGTGTGCCAATACTTTCACTTCTCGGATGTGAAGCAAATATTAGGGTTTCACACATGATTGCTGGAACTTTGCTGGTTGGGTTTGGTAAAGGGTGTGATATCTTTCACAGATGAGTGGGATGTTTGAGAGCTGGATGCACAAGCTGGTGGCTGCTGTTCAGAGACGAGAGTCGGAGGCTAATGTGGTGGTGGTCGACTGGCTGGGCCTGGCCCACCAGCTTTACCCTGATGCCGTCAACCATACCCGCCGGGTTGGGCAGAGCATTGCAACCCTTTTGGACTGGCTCCAGGTACGTCTACATTATACATCCCACTGGGTGTGCTTGTTTCTCTTTGTGGGCGTTGGCAACCGTGAAAACTCTGCTTGTGACCTTGGACATTGGGTCTTTGTTGGTGTTATTCATCTGTTCTCAGTACAGCAGATGTCCTGGCGAAGTACAATTTGTTTTTGTTTTTTTGTTGTTTGAGATGTCAGGAGTTTGCCCAAGGCATTGTGGGTATTCTCATGGAACAATAAATATTCATGCATCGTAGCTGGGTTCCTTAGACCCTGAAGGTCTTTTTATACAGGAAAGATGCAAGCAGTGTAAATGAGCAGCTGAGCATATTAGCCCCCCACATTTGCACACGGATGCTCCGGCTGGCACTGAGCATGTTACAGCAACGATGTGCATGAAGCATAATGACATTTTTTATATCGCAAAGTTGCTCTCATCAGGGCTATGAAAAGAAGTTTAGAGCTCTCCTCCTCAGATCAATAGTAGTTTCTTTTCACATTTCATCTTTTGAATTTAGTCAGATGTTTAGTTGGACTCAGCTCACAAATAAATAAAAAATAGAAAAATATTTGATACTATTGATTAACTTTATTATTAATGTTTATATAATAATTATTATTATTAGTAGGAGGAGTATCATTATCATATGATTTGCAGGATCTACCAAATAGATCTCCTGGATAAATAATCATTTTACATTTTGAATTTAAATAGACATAGCATGAATGAACGAATAAATACTTTTCCCATTCAATATTTAATAATAATTTATTAGCGCTATTCCCCTCAGATTGACAGTATTATTAATCTAATGTGTGTCTGTTTTTGATAGGAAGAAGTGCAGCTACAACTTGAGGATGTGCATATGATTGGATACAGTCTTGGTGCTCATGTTGCTGGATATGCTGGAACTTTTGTAAAAGGAATTGGACGTATAACAGGTGAGATTTAGATTTATGTTGGACACTTTGATTGTTGAAACAAAGCAACAAAGAAATTGCTCCGTCTTTTTGCACACATGAAGGCCAACTCTAAACATCTGTTCTTTTTGAATAGGTTTAGACCCAGCTGGCCCCATGTTCGAGGGGGCAGAGTCCCACAAGAGGCTTTCTCCAGATGATGCTGACTTTGTCGACGTCCTGCACACATACACACGGGGAGCTTTGGGCGTCAGTATTGGGATCCAGGAACCTATTGGGCACATTGATATTTATCCCAATGGTGGGGATGTACAGCCAGGCTGTTCCTTAGGAGATGTGCTGTCCACTGCTGCTGCAGGAAGTGAGTGCTTCCATTTTTGTTTTTTTTTGTTTTACCAAATTCCAAATCTTCCATTTTACCAAATCTGTCATGTCACCACACAGACTTTGTGGAAGTCATGAAGTGTGAACATGAGCGGGCAGTGCATCTCTTCGTGGACTCCCTCATGAACAAGGACCACATGAGCTACGCTTTTCAATGTACCGGCCCTGATCGTTTCAAGAAGGGCATTTGCTTGAGCTGCAGGAAGAACCGCTGCAATAGCATCGGTTACAACGCCAAGAAAATGCGCAAGAGGAGAAACTTCAGCAAAATGTACCTGAAGACTCGCGCAGACACACCTTTTGGCGGTAAGTAATTATAGCCTCTTTTGTTTCGGAGGCACATGCTGTCATGATGAGTCACTAAAATGTGGTTGTTTGCTCAATCCTCTCCAGGTTACCACTATCAGATGAAGATGCATGTGTTCGACAGGAAGAACGCAGATGATGCAGATCCTACTTTCTACGTCAAACTATATGGGTCCCATAATGATACCGATAACCTCAGTGTAGAAATGTAAGCACCTCATGATTAATATTTCCAGTATATTCTCCTGTTTACTGTTAAACATCGTTTGTATTGGTTCTTTTGAAGATTAAAATAAATTTTTGAAGACCTGACCCGGCTTCTCTGTTTTCACAGTGCTGATGGAGTTGGTCTAAACCTCACAAACACATTTCTCGTCTTCACGGAAGAGGACATTGGTGATCTGCTGAAGATTTCTCTTCGCTGGGAAGGCCCTTCTGATTCCTGGTCATCTGTGTTGAAACACCTCAAGTCATCGTTCTGGTCATGGTCAAGTTCACAGAACAAAAAAGTTCTGGAGGTTCGAAGGATCCGAGTCAAAGCAGGAGAAACGCAGAAGAAGTAAGTGCTGCCTTGGCACTTATTGGTTGTGAATGAACTGATTGTTAATGTCACAATATTTAATTCACAGGTTCACCTTCTGTGCTGCAAAGACTGAGATATCGCCTGGGCAAGAAGTTACATTTCTTAAATGCCGTGATGGCTGGGAAGTGAAACCTAGAAAACGGTATGTATGTGTATCTACTATTTATACATTTTATACATTGTGCTGTTCATTTATTTATTTGCCTTTTTGTTTGTTTCTTTGCAGATTGCACTACTGAGAGGAAGCGCTGTTAGCTAGGGACCCAAGGCGGTGAAGGGCCTGAGCACTTTTGTTTGTTTTGGTACACATTTGGTGGGATAATGCACCATATTTGTTTGGGTGGGTAGAACACAACTTGTGCTGCTCAAATGGCCAGCTCGGATGGGTGATGATGACAGGTTACTGGACTTGCTCAGGGCATTTTTTTCTACCGTTGGGAAGTTCTGAATTGTTTGAGATTCTTTTGATACTATTTGTATGTTTTCTACTGTTGCGTTCAACATGTCCGTTTTGTGGATCTCAGACTTTTCCTTAACAACGCAATACTCGTTATATATATATATTTTTGTACGTTTTTAATTTATGAAGGGAAAAAAAGCACTGTAAAACCAAGCTTATTTATCAACCTAATGCACACCTTGTACCAAGGCATAAATTAATTCTCTCCCAAGTTACCTGGTGACCACTTTTACGCGTGTATGTGTCTGTGGATTTCAACAGGAAGAAGGTTTTTATGTGAATTCAGAGTATTATTTAAGGTCAGAAGAATGGAGAGAACCGCTGTATTTGTCTTCATAAAATGTTGCACATTTTGTGCCTTGCTCTGTACATGTTTTATGTATATAATTTGTATATAAAACGTAATAATAATTTGTAATAAAATGACTTTGGATTCCACTGCGTCATGATGCATTTGATTAACAAATCTGTTTCTGACTTTGAGAAAAGATTGTGTAGTATTAATACTATTCATTTTGAGTAGTTAAATGCTGATTTAATATAACTTTAGCTGATTTGTATTTGTGTAACTTGAGTCGGTTCTAAAAAATGCTTCAAATATGAGTCCATCGGTTTACTTGCTTAAGGAAGAGTTTTGCAGAGGAAATGACAGTGAGACGTGTCTTAGCAACTTAAGTTGTAAATCATCTCATGTCATTCCAAACCGGTATGACTGACTTTTTTCTGTGGAACACAAAAGGATAAATTAAGGCTTTGCTAGTTGCTCTTTGCAATTGCAATGAATATTGACTGAAGCTTTCAAAAAGATGCACAAGCATCATAAAAGTATCACAAACATGGTTCAAATTCACTTTTCTGCTGTATATTCAAAGGCTGCTTCTAAAACTGCATAGTAGCCGAAAATGGGCACCGTAGGCTACTCTTTACTATCCCATGAAGCAACTGGAGAGAAGTTGCACACTTGACAAATGTAGTGCATCTGGAATCTTTTCGCACTGTACAGAACGTACTTTTTTTAACAGTCGCTAAGTAGTTATTTATTCGAAAGTAGTAACTACTCAGATAGTGTGCGATTTTGGGTGTAGTCAAAGTCTCTTGAGGATGGGGAGGCAAACCTGAAACAAATCACTCAGACCAGATGTGTGAACTGGATCAGTCCTGAACGGCTCTAATTCAAAAGAATGATTTGTTTATGAATCAAACATTGCATTTATGATACTTTTTTATGACACTTTAGCGTCCTTTTTTTTGAACCATGAAAGCTTCAGACCCTCTTGATTGAAATTGCATGAAAAAAACATGAAATACTCATCAATATTTCTTCTTCCAGGAAAGTATGTCATACAGATTAGGAAAAACACAAGGATGAGTAAATCATGTCACAGTTTTCATTAGTCTAGTGTGTTATTAGAAATGTCCTTATTTTCAGAGGAGTAAGCTTGAAACTTCTTGGAGTGCCAAGTGTGTGTGTGTGTGTGTGTGTGTGTGTGTGCGTGTGTGTCCGCCTGTTTGCATGTGCTATTTCAGAAATGTATTTAAAACGTGAGCGTTTACCTGACCATTTTTGTTCTTCTGGTGACACACCTCTTAAAAATGTTGAAATCTTTCCAGAACAGTTGTCAGTTACTAGTGTAAATGGAAAGAGGTGCCAAACAGAATGAGATGATAAGAGACAGGAAATAGCTGTTATCTGACACAGTGGTTTCAGTGGATTACTACAGCAAAAAAGAGTGATTTGTATCAATGTATAACTATGGCTATTCCTATGCTAATTACAGTTTTTCTGAATTGCTAAAACACTAAACCCCATTCTCTGAACCAAATTCTCACAAGTTTAAACCGATTTGTCGAATAAAGCACTCTTTCTGCTAAACCTTAAACACGTTCAGGCAGTTAGGCTCTATTTGCAAATCTCATGCACTCACACTTGTTTCTAATGATGTGATCAAACCAACTGTACAAAATATGAGCCAGCTCAGAGTGCACAAGTGGCACAGGTGACTGAATGATGATATGAGAAGGAGAGGGAGAGTACATGTAAGAAGTGGAGGATGAGGAGGAAGAGGATGAGGAGAGAAAGAGTAAGGTTTAGAGAGTGTTATCAATGCTGGATCTGTCAGACCAGAGGGTTTTTTCTAAGTATAGTAATTGCAACTGAGTAAGGTGAATATACTGTATTGTATAGGCCTACTGTATGCTGCAAGAATAGTATTGTGCTGAATATTGAATAGTACTGAATGTTTGTATGTATTCAGCACTTGGATACTGCAAAAATACTGCAGGCCAACTGCAAAGGCCAAAAAGGTCAAATAAAACTCTAAATGAATAGCATGTTACAGTACAGTCAAATACTGCAAGTTGTGCAATTGTAAAATCTGGGTCAATGAGAGATTAATTCTGTCTCAGCATCATGTCTTTGTGCTTAAGTCCGGCCTGAGGACTTTGTCCACATCACAATGTTGTGTTTTTTTACTAGACAAAGAGAAAAAACCCTCTGGTCTGACAGATCCAGCCTTGATAACACTCTCTAAATCTTACTCTTCCTCTCCTCATCCTCCACTTCTTACATGTACTCTCCCTCTCCTTCTCATATTGTTTCCATCTATTGTTCGTATCATCATTCAGTCACCTGTGCCACTTGTGCACTCTGAACTGGCTCATATTTTGTACAGTTGGTTTGATCACATCATTAGAAACAAGTGTGAACAATTTTGAATCGTTGTGTGTAAACGATGATAACTGTGCTTTAGTTGTATTCAGTGTGATAAGTGTTTAAGTGAATGAGAATGTGTTTAGAGTTTTGCAAAAAGAGTGCATGAGATTTGCAAATAGAGCCTAACTGCCTGAACGTGTTTAAGGTTTAGCAGAAAGAGTGCTTTATTCGACAAATTGGTTTAAGCTAGTGAGAATTTGGTTCAGAGAATGGGGTTTAGTGTTTTAGCAATTCAGAAAAACTGTAAAAATCTATTAAAACATTTGTCACATGAACACAAATATATCTTTCTCTCTCTATCTGTCTCTTAAGTTTTTTTTATTTATTATTATTATTTTGTACAGTGGCCCCAAAATGTGCTTTTGGGAAGTCAAAAAATTTCAATGAATCAGAAATTGAATTAACTTCAATCATTTAATGAATCAGAAAGAATCAAGACAGAAAAAAATGATTGTCAACCAATGAAGAACTGAAGGAGGATTAATCTTCTTTATATCTTACAGATATTACAGTGCCAAATGAAATTTCCACCACAGACTTTTCCACACATACAGTAGCACAACATTTAATTAGGTGAGATGCTGCTTATCACCTCATTCAGTTGTGAACGAGGTGATAAGACAAAGGAAATGGCTTCTGATAAGGCTTCACCTCTCTGATAAGAATGATACATTACATCATTCACATGAATTGTATCTCCACATGATTTACATACCATAGTTTATTTAAAACTTTAACTTTTCCCATGCTTTTTTTTAGTTAATTTTATTTCATAATTAATTTTAGCTGCATTTTTATTAAAAGATAAACAAACAAACAAATAAATAAATCAGTTCATTGAAATTTATTCATTATATTCATTATAGTGTCTAAACAGATCGGCCTAGAAAATAATGTTATGAAATACATTGAAATGTTGGATAACAGATGAAGAATTCAACCCATTGTTGAGCTTTAGTCCTCTCTGTTGAAACACTGACTGAAAAAGCAAATATAAGACTTCTGGAGAAATCTATTTTTTTCTAGAAGGGTCTGAACTTTCATCACTCTTACTCTATGTTTTTATTGGCAGTCACTTTATTATTATTATGATGCAAATAAAAAATTGACCAGGTAAAAGTATGGTAATGACATCTTTTATATACAATAGCCTATATTGTTCACAAGAATAGAAACATATGGAATGTGGGTGTGAACAAGAACATGAATGTCAGTATGGGTGTGAGAATTCTTTATGTAAATTCTTGGATCCTTTGTCTTTAAATAAACTCTTTAAACATTCTTTATTTAATAAAGTTTTTAATAATAATTTAACAACTGTTCATAGGTTTGGAAAAAGTAAAAGTATATGGCAATGGCTTTTCTTGCAGAATGGAAATTTACTGAGCACAGCCAAGAGTTTCTTTACAGTTTCTCATTGAGCTCATTGAACCTGCGTGAGCGGTTGCAGTTGTTGAAACTGTATAGCTGTGTCATTCACCGTGCTGCTTACAATAAATCAAGTACAAACAAGCAAACATATGACTCCCGGGAAACTTCTGGGAATCACAACTCCCCCATCACTAGCGAGGAGGGTTTCTTTTTGGACCTTCTCACCCATGAGCTTAGCCTTAGATCTTTCAGATGCTCAAGACTGATGATATTTTCCGCCATGGTGTTAATTACAAAAGCCTCTAAGGATATTTTGTAAATTTTTTCATGTTTTGGTCATCTGTATCTAAAGCCGTTCCTGTTAACTCCTTTCAGTGATTGTGTTATGTCAGATTGAGTCATTCTTGCACCTGGTTTTATCATGGCTCTACAAACACTTCCTCGTAAAACAAGCATTATTCTCTGCTTAGAGCTGAGTAACATGCATTCTAAACAAAAACAAGAGTAAGCAGACAGGTAGCAGATAAGACGTGTAAACTATACGGTTATATGTTTTGATTGGATGAGTTCTCTTTGAAGCTATAAACTGAGACTGTGTATACTAATAATATACGAGAGTTGGTATTTTGCTTGGGTAACAGCCAAATTATAAACAGCCTTTTATTAGGATGACAACCCTTTGTAACTTGGTGGAAGAGAGTTATTTATTCCTTTAATTATCAGTTCAAGCTTATCTTTTGATTGGACATTGATGTTTTTTTATTACAGTGCTGTTAATTGTTGCAGTTTATAAAAGGTGTTCAGAACACAAAACTCATTAACAGGGAACACTATCGGAACATTCTTGCAAGGTTCTCTCAATGTTATGAACCAATGTTCTTCCAGGAACATTACAGTTTTTCTCAATTGCTTAAACACACTTGTCCACTCAGACATCACATTTTCAAAACAGTTAACACACAGGCTGAAACTGAAGCTCAATGGCCAAAATGACTTATTTTGTTTGCAAAATGCTCCAACACTAACAAACCATTAAAAACATGCAACATAAGCAAATACTTCCATCAAACACCACAGTTTGTGGTCAAATTACAGTTTTTTTTTTCTATTGCTAACATCCGTTTGTCCAATCTGTAGTCACTGTAGTGGGGAAGTCGTGGCCTAATGGTTAGAGAGTCGGACTCGTAACCCAAAGGTTGCGGGTTTGAGTCTCGTACCAGCAGGGATTGTAGGTGGGGGGAGTGAATGTACAGCTCTCTCTCCCACCTTCAACACCATGACTGAGGTGCCCTTGAGCAAGGCACCGAACCCCCAACTGCTCCCCGGGTGCTGCAGCAAAACAAATGGCTGCCCACTGCTTCGTGTGTGTGTGTTCACTGCTGTGTGTGTGCACTTTGGATGGGATAAATGCAGAGCACTAATTCTGAGTATGGGTCACCATACTTGGCCACATGTCACTCACATTTTCAAAACTCTAAACACAATTAGCAAAACCGTTTGTTGTGACCATACCATTAACACAATTCATGTTGTTTTTCCCACAATATTCTGTCAATTAACACGTTTCTAAAATGCTTAAATTGTCTTTTTACACAAGCTTACCCCATACCAAAACACAATTACCAAAACCTTACACTCAAGGAGCAAAACACCGGCCTAGGTTTGCACAACTGTAAGCACATTGTCAGCTTCCCACTTTTTGCAAAACATTACACACAGTGATTTGCAAAACACTAAACACACTTGTGTGCATTTGACAAATTTATCATGATGCCATTTCCTTGCAATTTCAAAGCAAAGGCTTTCAAATGAACACAACCATGAACCAATTGGTTAAACACAGCCACCAGGTGTGCACACACACTGGTGCTTAATTGTAGACACACCAATCAGGTTTAAGCACTATAAGAAGGCAACAGGTAAGTTCACCTGTCTTCAACAAAAATGGACGGTGTCAGAGGAAGAGGGAGAGTGCGGATGAGAGGGGGAATCCGGAGAGAACAAGGTGGAGGAAGAGGCCAAGGAAGAGGAAGAGGAAGAGCGAGAGCGAGAGGGAGAGGGAGAGGGAGAGGGAGAGGGAGAGCGAGAGGGAGAGGAAGAGGGAGAGCGAGAGGAAGACCTGGAGGAGGGGTAGGACATGCACAAAGAAGAAGACAACCAAATCTGTGTAACGAAATTCGTGCTACAATTGTGGACCATGTAATAAACCACGGACTAACACTGAGGGAGGCTGGACTGAGAGTACAGCCTAACCTAAGCAGGTACACGGTGGCATCAATAGTTCGGACATTTCGTCAAGAGCACAGGTGAGAAACTTATCTTCTGTCAACAGAAAATCCATAGCTTACTGCATGTACTATATCAACAGTTTTGGTATCTATTCGTGTATCATTTTACAGTAAGCTACATGTATTTTGTTTGGCCAACATAGGATTGAACGTCGAGTACACCAAGGAGGGAGGGGCCCCATATTCACACAGGAGCAAGAGAGAGAGATCATAAACCTCGTTTTGGCCAATAATGCAATCAGACTTAGAGAAATTCAAGCCCATATTGTCAATGATCACACTATTTTCAATAATGTCCAACAGGTCTCTCTGTCAACAATAGCCCGTATCCTTAAAAAACATCAAGTTCTGATGAAACAACTGTATAAAGTGCCATTTGAAAGAAATTCAGACAGGGTGAAAGTCCTGCGGCGTGAATATGTGGTGGTACGTTTTGTTCACTGACTGTAGTATTGTGTACTGCACACATAACCTTTTTACTGTACACCAGATGCAATACATTGTCGTCTGGGACAATGTAGCTTTCCATCGTTCTGCTCTGGTCCAAAACTGGTTTCATCAACACCCACAATTTACAGTTCAATACCTTCCACCATACTCCCCCTTCCTAAACCCCATTGAGGAGGAGTTCTCAGCATGGCGGTGGAAGGTTTATGATCTCCGGCCCTATGTCCAGATGGCCCTCATTCAAGCTATGGAGGAAGCATGTGATCAAATTGAAGCAGCATCAATACAAGGGTGGATTCGTCACTCCAAAAGATTCTTCCCACGTTTACCTTGCAAATGAAAATATAGCCTGTGATGTTGACGAGGCCCTGTGGCCAGATCCAGCTAGGCGGAGAGATGTTTAGGTTTTTCTTTATTTTTTTTTTTATTCGGTACTGAACTGGATATGTAATTTGTTACAGTATTACTGTAAGCTTACAGTACAATGGTACGTTCAGTAATACTGTATGAAAACTGGAAAATGTTTTGTTGAAATGTTCAGTATTGACTGACTTGAGTACATGAAAAAAAAAAAATCTTTTCATTAGTCTGCACAATTGGTGTCATGTGGTGTTGGTGAATTTATTTTTACACTTTCTCTGTGTAAATGCTAAAAGTGTTTTATGTTGAGCACAGGAGTGTTTAACTGATTCAAACAGAAACAGAATATATGATGGTTGTTTAGTATGACAACAAAATAAGGTTTTTATAAGACATTGTATAGTTTTGACAAGTGTTCCGTTTTGCTAATTATCTGAGGTGTTGTGCTACTTTGGTGTAGCGTTGTGCTAATTGTGTGAAGGGGTTCGAAAAAAATGTTTTCAAAATTGCGATTAAGCAATTGAAAAAAAAAACTGTAAATACAGCATGACAGAAATGAAGACCTAATGTTCCAAACTTTAAATATAGTGTAAAGCCTCTACTTCTGCAACATAGGAGCTGATAATTATTTTAATTACTGATTATTGAGAAATAGCTAATTCAAATCTTAATAATTTCAAGTATTTCCATTACATGGCCATGCACAATAAAAAGGCACTCTCTTGATTGGTTTTGTTCAAAACAATACAGAACAACACAGAGAAGCAGAATAAGAAAGAAAATGTCTGTACGAGGGAGAGGCGTAGTTAAACCAGGACTGTCTGGTTTGGTTCAGCTACCAAATCAGACATCAAGAGACCACAATAGACAGCAAAGACTGCTGAGACGATTATTGGCCCAACCTCCAAGATCTGTACACCTCCAGAGTAAGGAAAAGGGCTAAGAAAATCACTTTGGTCCCCACACACCCAGCCCACTCTCTATTCATACTGTTGCCTTCTGGTCTGCGTTACAGACCATAATTTTCTGTTTTTCTTATATTACTGTTATAATTCCTGTGTATGTCTGCACTATCATGTATGTTTGCACTATGTCCATACTTTCTTCTGCACTGGAAGCTCCTGTCGTCAAGTCAAATTCCTTGTGTGTGTAAACATACTTGGTAATAAAGCTCTTTCTGACAAGGGAGAAGGAGAGGTAGGGGAGCAAAAGGCAAAGGCCTGTATGTTTTTTTTTCACACACAGAAATTTCATTTTGCCAATAAAGCCTTTACTGCAGCAATTCTGTCACCTTTCTTTTACATTCCATAAAGTACTGATGACTCCTTCACTATGCAGTACACATACTGTCTAAAATGAATCTACACATTCACACACAAAAAATGAAGAGTTCAGATGACTTTATTATTATTATTGCTGTTGTTGTTTAAATGGATATCATATTGTTTGTTCTATACAAGCCAAACTGAAACGTGACAAGTAATGCAGTTTTTGTAGAGCCATTAATTGTTAGAATTTTGACAGTCACTGTGCTATGATTGACTATATGTTCCTGTTGGATAGAAAACTAGTGCAAATGTTTTGACCGAATGACTCAATTTTGAATCGGGTTTGCAGTGTTTTGATAGAGTTAGTATATGTAGAAAAGGGTATTCAGCATTTTGAAATGTAGAGTTTGTATTTATTTAACAAAATGTGGTTTTGGCCAGAAAATTAACTTATAAAATTAACACATACATGATTTTGCACGTAAAACAGAAGTGCACACACAAATATATATAAAAAAAAATACATGTGTGTGTTTGTGTGTTGCAGTTTGTATCTGTATAAAATATATTTGCTGTATGCTGCAAAATACAAATGAACACTCTATTATGAATTATTACAGCAAGTATACAGTATAACAGTACATTGCACATTGGTTGACATACCTGTTCTCTCTACAAAATGTTTGAATTGAGGATACAGTCGATCTCCCAATATTTGGCTGCACCTTTCGACCCGCCTCAGCCATTGTAAGGCCATGATTGACAACATGGTCCACAATAGTGGCCCTTATTTCATCTGATATGTGCCGCTGTCCTTGGCCTCTTCTGCCGCTTCCTCCGTTTTGCCTCTGTACCCTTCCACCATGCATCCTTACTCCTCTTCTTCCTCTCGGCTGTTGACCCTGATCGTTTCCAGGATGTTCATCCATTGTTGGAATTTGTAACTCTTGTGTTGTCCTCGGTCTATATATGCTTTCCAATTGAAGGTTCATGAGATGCACCTTTGAGCTATATCTGAGAACTGGTTTGTCATTGGTTGATATATTCTCTTCATTAGTGAAAGTCAAAATTGACCTGCACAATTCATGGCAAATTTACAAAATGCATTTAGAAATGTGTAGAAAATATGCTTGACAGTTTATGACAACTAGATCAACCATTTTGCATTTACAGTTTTCATCTCAAATCATCCTTAATGTTTGCAAAAAACTATGTGCATTTCTCAAAACAAGTCGTACAAACAGCACCACACAATGGATTACCTGCAAAAGCCTGTAACTTACTCAATCTTTAGTTCATCTCTCAAAAGTAAGTATTTATGTCAATGAACATATCAATGCAATCAGAATGAAAAGTCCTTGTGTCATTGTTCACAAACAAGAGTCAAAATGCTTAGTAATGTTGTCAATATAACAGCACACTTTGTCAGTATTACCTGATGTAAACTATGGCAACATTTTGGATGACAGTATTAGAAAGTCCATTGCCAGAATTTGTAACTCTTGTGTTGTCCTCTGTCTATACAGTATATGCTTTCCAACTGAAGATTCAGGAGATGAACCTTTGAGCTATTTCAGAGAAATGGTTTATCATTGTTTGATCTACATTCTCTTCATTAGTGAAAGTCAAGATTCACTTGCACAATTCATGCCAAATTTACAAAAAGCCTAATAATAATAATAATAATAAGTGTAAAAAATGTGCTTGACAGTTTAGGAGAACTAGAGGAACCATTTTGCATTTAATGACTTATACGATGAACTAAACTAGATGTTTCGAGGGGTAAGACTATTGCACAGAAAACTATAATACATTTTGAGCAACATGGCATTAGCAACTGATAATGTAGGAAACCACAGATAAATGTACATAATTGCATGAATGGACCAAAGCAATCACAGCTTGTTCAAAAGAATGAGAAACTGCTTTTATGAGGTGTACAAATGACTAGATGACGTGGAAGATGTACAAGTAGTTTTGAGAATTTCATTTCTGATTTGAGAAATGCACCAAAGCGACAGAAAAAAAAAAAAAGCTCAGCTGAAAAAAAAAAAAAACCTTTTTAAATGCATCTCATATTGTATGTTCTATACAGGTCAAACTGAAACATTACAAGTAATGCAGTTTTTGTAATGTCAATAATTGTTATCAATTTGACAGTCTATGCACCATTATTAACTATACGTTCGTTCCTATTGGATAGAAAAACAGTGCTAATGTTTTGACCGAATGACTCAATTTTGAATCAAGTTTGCTGTGTTTTGATAGAGTTAATATATGCAGAAAAGGGTATTCAGCATTTTGAAATGTAGAGTTTGTATTTTTTTTTACAAAATGTGGTTTTGGCCAGAAAATTAACTATTTGGCTATTTATGTGATGTAGGGGAGTTGCTGTGTTAAGAGTTTAGAAAAAGTACTTAAAGTATTGGTAAACACTTGCTAGCGATTTAAAAAAAAAAAAAAAATTAATCAATCAATCAATCATTACACAAAATACAAAACACAGCTATCAATATGAATTTACACTGCTCAAACTCAGTGTTGAATATAGTAAAAAAAAACAAAAAAAACACAACACACAACAGATGAAACTTATGGGTGTCTAAAAAAAAACAAAAAAACAGAGTTGAAATACTCAGAACTTCACATTGGATGTTTTTTCCCTTGCAGTGTTGCAATGAACCAATGGAAATACATCCTTGCATGGCAAATCCATCAACAGCCCGCTCTCTTTAGGTGAAACCAGTCTTTCATTTAGTGCATCAAGAAATGTGATGAGGCGTTCTGTATTGAACTGATAGTTTGTATGTGGCAAAGGACGCCATCATTAGAGATGACAGCACACATGGTGATATTGGCACCCCTCTGACCTGGCACTGCAACAGTGACCCTCTGCCCAATAAATGTTCCTCCCGCGTCTCCTCACTTTACAGAGGTTGAAGCTGGCTTCATCCACAAATTAATTTGTGATGTGCCCCGTGAGCTTAAAAGTACATTATTCTCTAAAAAAGCAAAATCATAGAGCAAATTATTCCAGTTGCATGTAACTGTATGGTATAACATTGCATTACAATAACAAATCCGAACAAAGCATATCAAAATTGACATTATGACAAACACAAATGGAACTGATGAAACATCTGCTTTACTATAAGTTTGTTCTGCCAACAGGGCAATACAGTAAATCTGAAATACACAGTGGTACAGTAACATTGTGACTTACCTGTTGTCATTTTGAAAAAATGCCTAGCAATAGATGCCGCAGTGCTCCGACTCAGAATGGGTTGAACCCTTTGTCCAGCCTCTCGGACAAACTGTGATTGATGACAAAGTCAATAATTGTTGCTTGAATTTCATTTGAAACTTGAGCTGTATTTTCTCATTTTACAGTAATGCAGCCTCTCCACCATGTATGCAAACTTCTCTTTCTCTAGCCCTCTGCCATGGTCTTTTACTCTTCTTCCATGCCTTTGGCCTCTTTGATCCATACTTGCAAATAGCAGGACAGAGGTGAAATCGTTTGTAGAGGGATGAGGACTGATTGCTGATTGAAGAGTTGTGTAAACGAGTTTCACACAGGTGCATTAGAGATTCATAATTATGCAAGTACTTTCTATCAGCTGTGAATAGATGTTTTCCTTTTGTTCAACACAGTGAATCCAATAGAGTTTGGGGTCTTTCATTGACATCTGTGGTGACTGTTTTGACAAAGGGTGTGAAAAATGTGTGATTCAAATTAAAAAGTGTTAAGCAATTGCAAAATAAGACTTCTTCTGTGCTAAGAATGTGATGATGAAGATCAAGTGGATCCCAGTTTCATTAAGCGTGTCTTAGCAAATGAGAAAAGCTCTAATGACTAGATGTTTTGAGGGGTAAGACTATTGCACAGAGAACTATATAATACATAATGAGCAACATGACAACAGCAACTGATAACGTAGGAAACAGCAGATAAATGTACATAATCAGTTGCATGAATGTACCAAAGCAATCGCAACTTGTTCAAAAGAATGAGAAACTGCTTTTATGATGTGCACAAGTGACTAGATGATGTGGAGGTTGAACAAGTATGAGAAGTTCATTTCTGTCACAGTCTTCAGCGGGTGTGCCCAGGATGGCCACCAGATGACATTGTTTTCTGTGAGCACATGGCTTGTGTTGTGTTTGTTTGGTGCCATGTGGTCTCGCCTGTCTATTGTCTTGCCCCGCCCATCTTGTTACCTCACTATTGTTTAAGTTGCTCCACCTGTGTCTCCCTCGCTAGCCTCCTCATTTGGTTTCCTATTTATTCTCCTGGTGTCTTTTCGTTGTTTTTTCCGTCGTTTTTTCGTTGTGTGTGTTATGTCTGCATGTAGTGCAGTTCCTAGCCTGCCTGTCTGTTTTTCCCTCTCGGGGTTGTTTGGGTTTGTTTCTGTTTCATTTTATTATTAAAAGAAAGAACCATTCATCCTGCACTTGAGTCCTCGCTTCATCTCTCCACATGCACTGACAGAACGGCTCAGCCAACATGAGGACTCAGCAGAGAATGGGCTCACTCCATCTACCGGTCTCCACTCTCTCCAGCCCCCTCTACCAGCGCATGCTCCAGCTGGATGCCTTGAGCTCCCTCCGTCAATGAGGGACTGATCTGAGGGAGTTTGTCATGGAGTTTAGGAATGCTGCAGAGGGGCTGGGCTACAATGACTCCGCTCTTAAGGACTTATTCAACTATGCCTTTGATGAGCCCATTAGTCACTGGAGCATGTCAGGATGCAGTCATGTATCCTTTGAGGGGTTTGTGGAGTTCTTGGCACGTCCGCCCATCTTGTTACCTCATTATTGTTTAAGTTGCTCCACCTGTGTCTCCCTCGCTAGCCTTCTCATTTGGTTTCCTATTTATTCTCCTGGTGTCTGTAATCCTGTGCTGATCCGTCATTTTTCATTGTGTGTTATGTCTGCATGTAGTGCAGTTCCTAGCCTGCCTGTCTGTTTTTCCCTCTCGGGTTTGTTTGATTTTATTAAAAGAAAGAACCATTCAGCCTGCACTTGAGTCCTCGCTTCATCTCCCCACACGCACCGTGACAATTTCTGATTCGAGAAATTCACCAAAGCGACTGAGAAACTGTAAAATATGAGACACCAATGTTTCAGGAGTTAATGACACAAATAGGACTCATGCTTAACTGTTTTATTTCCTCTTTGGGTTTATATATGCTAGTAAGTAACAAATGCTAGTAATATGCGTGCTAATAAGAAACTAGGTAATAGAGAGAATTGGTACCTAAACTAAAGTGTTGCCCTTATTTCAGAATGTTCAAAGAACATTCAAAAGTAACATTCCCATGATGATTGCAAACTGATACAATAGAATTTCAATGTTCATTTAACATTTGCATAACGAAGATGAAATGTTTCTAAAATATTTTTAAAAAGCTGGTCGTTTTGAGCATTTGAGCATTTTTTAAAAAGCAATGGAAACGTTCGCAAAATATTCTTAAACATCTTTTTGTTAGCTGGGTGTACTCGTGTTAGAACCTTTGTAACGAACAACCGCTTGTGGTTATGTACCACACCTGTGACAAGTCAACATAGTCAGCTCTGCATTTTTAGAAATCTTGTATTTCTTCATGCCTTTAAGAAAGTAACAAACCTCCAGATTTTATGTGCGAGACATCTTGCAGTCAATTTCTTGAGTGTTACAGAGATTCATCTGTGAGTCTGAGCAATACCAGATTCATAGGCATCTCTTTGTTCATTCAAATGAATGGAGTCTCCCAGGCTTCATAAAACGACACATCTCACATTAGACTTCGTCCCATTTGTGCTGTGAGACTTTCTCATGGGAAACAACCATTGAGAATGTGAGAAGAATGTCCTTTGAATAGAAGACAACTTGACATGAGTTGGATTAACCAGCCTATAACTATCATAAGAAATAAAATCATTCACAATTTGACCTCTTAAATATGCTTTGTTTTGGCCAAAGTGTCCTAAAAAACTGCAAAGAAGGTTGTACAGTGGTTATATTGCTTCAGAAACTGGTAACAATTGTAAGCTTGCATGAGGAATCATGGGAATAAAAAAATGCATATAGCTTAGTGTACCTGCACGGATCAAATATCTAAAGCTGAACTGACAATAGGAAAGTTCCAGGTGGGCGGTGGCAAAGGAAGTAGCAAAGGAAGTAGTGCGTAGTCATAATGATGTCTCTGTACTGAGTGTACTATAAATTATCTGACTAAAAACGAACATGTTCAAAAGCATACCCAAAGGAACACAACATTTCAGCTATCTGTGGAATGCCTGAAAGCATAATAACGAAGCGTCATGTGTAAAAAGAAGTATATCTCACTATGAAGTACTTTAGCAGGGCTTAACTGGATCTTTTTTTTTCATTGCATTTCTACAAACCATAAACTCAGCAAAAAAAGAAACGTTCCTTTTTCAGGATGCTGCATGTTGAAAATAATTTTGTAAAATCCAAAAAAGCTTTACTGATCTTTATTGTAAAGGGTTTAATCAATGTTTTTATGCTTGTGTAACGAACCATAAACAATTAT